TCATACTTGGCGGGGTGCGGGAGCATAGTTTCTCCTTTCTTAAGGGGCTTTTCTTAGTCTGAGCAACTTGGTAAGGCTTTGTCTCTACAATAAATCACAAAAAACTAGCTGGGCATGGTGGCTTGCATCTGTAGTTCCAGCTACTTGGAAGGCTGAGGCAGAAGGATCGCCGGAACCCATATGGTTGAGGCTGCGGTGGCCATGAGTGTGCCACTGTACTCCAGCCTGGGCGACAAGAGTGAGACTCCAACTCAAAACAAAAAAGAAAAAAGAAAAGGAGCTTTTCTGTGTAGTTAATGCCCTTGGAAGCTCTGTGCTGAAGATGAGGGCAGGTGGTATTATTCTTTCCAGTCATGGATAAGGAAGGTGGGCCAGGAGGGCGACCAGTCACCCAGGGCCATGTGCATATTTGTGACAGCCCTGTGACAACAGCCCAGGCCTCTGTTGTGCACATGGAAATCTGAGCCTGAACAGGCTGTGTAACTACGTCCCCAGTGGGACCAGGTTAGGTCTTCCCCTCCCCCACCATTCTAGTTCTGGGAATGGAGGGCCAGATCCTGAGAACCTGTGGAGAACAAGCCACAGGCAACTTCCACCCCCTTTCCTCTTTCCCTTCCTCCTGGACTATGGATTGCAACCCCCTCCCCAGGCCCTTTCTTCTCCCCTGGAGTTGGGGGTGGTGGTGGCTGGAGGATGCCAGGTGGTTGATAGAGACTGAATTACTGAGGATTCACAAAACCTTGAAGCAAAGTGTCCTGTTCCATTGCTTTTTGTGCATGAACTTTTTTTGTCTTATCAGATCAGAAGGATTGTTCAGTGTGTTAATACAAGCAAAGCTTAGAGCAGCACCTGGCACGTAGTTTGCTGTTTATCCTTAGGTATATCTTTGCCCCTTGCTGCTGTGGAGAAGCTCCCTTAAACCTTGCTCTGTAAACACGTCTTGAGTTTCTGGCAGGTAAAGCCAAAGCCACAAGGAACATTTACTTACCTGTTCCTGCCCTTAAGCACTTTTCACCCAGCCTGCTTAGTAAGGCCCCTGTTTGTTGGAAGGTGATTTGTTTTTCCTTTTTTAAAAAAATTTAAAAAACTGTACAGATGAGGTCTCGCCAAGTTGCCCAGGCTGGTCTCGAACCCCTGGGCTCAGGCAATCCTCTCGCCTCTACCTCCTAAAGTGCTAGGATTACATGCATGAGCCACCGTGCCTGGCCTTGTTTTTCCTTTTTTTTTTTTTTTAACCTCTGGTGTCTGTCCTGGTAGAAGCCTAGTGACTCTTCAGGGGAGGGCCTTGTTTGGCTCTCATGGCCTCCAAAGGGACTTCAGGGAGGAAGGGGTCTGCGTGGGGACCTGGGCTCTAGAAATCACATGAGCAGGCCAACAGCCAGGGGTGCTGGCCCCATGTATGCTCCTGCCTGGGGGAGAGCCCTGCTCCCTGATGGTCTCCCTTCATTCCTTGACTGCAGAACCTTCCTTTGTGAGAGAAATGTCTGGAGCGTTCCTGGAATACACCATGAGGGAAGCTAGGCTGCTGACAGTGGCTTTAGAGCCCCAGAGCAGTCTCCAGGACTTTCTTGGTGGCCACGTGGGCCAGGCTGGGAGGCCTCTTAGAATGTGGACTAGAGCAGGGAAGGGCACGCTCTGTCCTGACGGGTGCAGGGGTGCTCAGTGGGGCCTCATGGGTGCCAGCATCGGTCCTCAGAAGGACCTGGAGAGTCCCAGGTCAAGGCACCTATTTTCTCAGAGTTGCCTCCAGGTACTGGCTGTTTCTGTGTGAGGAAAGAGCCTGACTGGGGGGTCCTGAGAATCCTGTTAAGCCTGGAGTGGGGGTGTAGTTTCTTTGGGGTTCACTAGAGCAGGAGCGCAAAAGGCAAGGCCAAGGTCAGGGTTGCTGACTGGCTGGGCTTGTTTTTGCCAACTGGGCTGCATGCCATCGGAGACTGTCTGTCCCTCCATTGACAGTGCCTCAACCTGGCACTGGGCTGGTCTTAAGGGATGTGTGGGGCCACGGAAGGAGCCTGCAGCCTCCTCTGTGGAACGTTCCTTTTGTTCAGTGTTTATTAACAGGGACTTGCCATTGGAGAGCTTTGGGCTTCCTCTTAGAAATGGCCGGAGAGTAGTTTGACAGAGCATTTGAAGGGGACCAGCCGGGGGTGAGGAACACATCTTTGCTGGTAGAACAGGAGGCTCTGCGTGGCCCACTCCCATAGCTGTGGTGTCTGCTCGTAATGGCCAGGCTGGATAACCTGTGACGCCATCTGCCTCTTTTATAGGCTTGTTTTTGGACTTGCTCTGGGCAGAGAAGAATCTAGATGCAGAGAGACGTTGGTGAAGGTCACTACAGTGTGAAGGTTAATGTTGCTTGTCTGACAGTCTGCTGGGAGGGGTGGAGGGGGCAGGCAGCAGAGAGTTAATGTTTAATCAGGGACTCTGGCTCCCAGCTCTGTGCCTGGTGTCCTCCTGAGCTGGGCAGGAGTAGGTCAGAGAGAAGACATCCATGTACCTGCCGGCACTCAGACCCTGGCACCTCTGTCCCAGAACACCATGACGTCCTTGATGTTGTGTGTTGTCACACCTAAGGGCCATTTTCCAGATAACTGCGGCAGCTTCTTGTGGTTGCCTGAGCACAGCCTAGTTTGCTCTATGCTGTTGCCAGCCACGCTGAGCACTTGAATGTCCACAGTGAGATGTGCCAAAGTGCACAATGAGTTTGGAGAGTTTGTGTGCGCCCACGCACACGTAAAATATCTCTCATAATTTTCATATTGACTACTTGTTGAAATGATAGTATTTTGGAAATATTGGGTTACATAAAATAATTATTAGAATTAATTTCACATGTTTCTTCTTGCCCTTTTCTTCCTTGCTTCTTTCTTTTTTTTGAAGGAATTTGTTCAATGATAGGAAAGCTCCCGTTAGCAGGAAGGGACCGGAAAGAGGGTTGTCGTTGCCCTTTTCAGTGTGGAAACCAGGAAACTTAAAGTGATCTGTGTGGCTTGCCTTATAGCTCTTGCACTCAGCGTTGGTCTAATCATTTTCAATAGAAGTAATGATAATACAGCAAGCACTTTTATCATATTATTGTGTGCCTGGCCCTAATCTAAGCACTTTACTCTTATTAGATCGTTTAGTCCTCACAACAGCCTGTCAGGCAGGACCTGCCATTACAGTTGGCAAAGTAGAGGTTGTACTGTTGCCCCATGGTGTGTAAAATGTATTGCAGAAACATTTTTTTTAAACTTGAATTATCTTCTTTGGATTTTTGTTTTATTTATTTAAAAATTATTTAGAGTCAGGGTTCACTCTGTCACCCAGGCTGGAGTACAGTGGCAGATCCTAGCTCACTGCAGTCTTGAACCCCTGTGCTCAAGCGATCCTCCCACTGCAGCCTCCTGAGTAGCTGGGACTACAGGCATGTGACACCACGCCTGGCTAATTTTAAAAATTTTTGTAGAGAAGAAGTCTCACTTTGTTGTCCAGGCTACTTCCCAACTCCTGACCTCCAGCGATCCTTCCACTCCAGCCTCCCAATGTGCTGGGATTACAGATGTGAGCCACTGTGCCTGTCCCAGAAGAAGGACTGGATTTTTTTTTTTTTTTTTTG